ACACACACATGTACTCGATGCAAGTTTAATGTTAAGAAAAAAACAATAATCTGAAGGAAAAAAGTCATACATAGTGACAAAAATACCTCAGATTACCCCCATGACCCATTCTGACATTGGACCCTCTCTATCATACTATATAAGAGACTCTCAATATATGCAGCATTGCATATGTCCATAACATGTTGGTGCAGTGTGAGGTCAGATAAGTATGTTGGACTGGAGCCCATCAGTGAAACATACACACACATGTGCTCGATGCAAGTTTAATGTTAAGAAAAAAACAATAATCTGAAGGAAAAAAGTCATACAAAGTGACAAAAATACCTCAGATTACCCCCATGACCCATTCTGACATTGGACCCTCTCTATCATACTATATAAGAGACTCTCAATATATGCAGCATTGCATATGTCCATAACATGTTGGTGCAGTGTGAGGTCAGATAAGTATGTTGGACTGGAGCCCATCAGTGAAACATACACACACATGTGCTCGATGCAAGTTTAATGTTAAGAAAAAAACAATAATCTGAAGGAAAAAAGTCATACATAGTGACAAAAATACCTCAGATTACCCCCATGACCCATTCTGACATTGGACCCTCTCTATCATACTATATAAGAGACTCTCAATATATGCAGCATTGCATATGTCCATAACATATTGGTGCAGTGTGAGAGTGCTGTCGAACCTAACACCTAGGTTTTATAATATGTGAATTTAATGTTGTATTGCTGATATTTATTGTTTGTGGTAAAGGATGTGAATGAGATAGTCTTTGTGTTGTAATCAGAAGTAGACAAGATGTTAGGTATGCTTGGATGACCTGCATTAGTTGGGTTACTTTTATCATACAGAGGTTTCTCTTAGTAGCAAATAAAGTGGTAGGTTAGATGGCATTAAATGGAGAGGTGATCCGATGTAAGTTCGTGAGATACCAGGTAGGACTGTAGAAAATTATCATCAGGTCTATGAAGAATCCAGTCTAAAATGTGACCATGTTTATGGGTGGGTTGGTTAACTGACTGTTTGAGGATGAAAACCCGAATGGAATCTTGGAGTTTTGGTTTCCAAGATATTCAAATTGAAAGTTAAAATCTTCAAGAATAATCAAGTTGCCACGTGTAGAATTTTCCAGGAGATTCAGAAACTGCGCCAAAAAGAGAGATTCGGTCACCTTGTTTTTTGTACTAGAAGGATGGCAGTAAAGGCAGAAAAAATGGACCATATGATTGTGGTTTGGACATTTAAATGATGTGTGGTAGGAATTAAGGGTTGTGGTGTGGTTAAAACGTTTGATCATGGAGTTCTTTGTGATGACAGCGATTCCACAACATCGAGAGTGGCAGGGGAACGACTTGATGGAGTAATCAGTGAGTGTTAGATCCGTACACTTGGGCTCATCACCTGATGTTTTTAGCCATGTTTCTGTTAAAAAAAAAGATGTTGATATTTTGATCATTTATAAAATTAACTATGTGTGCTTTTCCAATGGTCCTACTGATTGGGCATTGAATAATGCAATATGCAGTGATATCTCTTGGAAAGTTGACACAAAGGTTGACAATTTAATAGGGATTTGAAATTGGTTTAAGGGAGATAACTGTCATGGACCTTGACCTGCGGTCAGATAATGCATTGGCTTATCAAGGTTTGTGATGTTTATTCTACAAATCAGGTTCTTTGCAGTTTTCAGTTTCTCTACATTTTTTTACAGAAGGTTCTTGTTACCAAATACAAGACTAATACCTAGCAGATTTTTATAAATGTATTATGGGAGAAATTTCATTGCTTTAATTTCACAAATTAACAAGTTTGAATATTTTTCAAGTTTGTTTTGAATATTTTATCACTTGTGATGGCAAAATTTGTACACTTGCCAAATTTTGTAATGTTGAATTTCAGTGACTCAGGTTTCGACCATGAAAGCTGCAAAAGTAAAACCACATGGACATTTCCTCACTATGGTACACACTATACTGTAATCTAACTTTATGTTCTTTTAGGTTTCCTCAAAGATTTTTTTGGTATCTATGATGGTGCCTTTTACTTGGGAGGTGTTGGAATGTTGCTTGGGGCAGCTATCTTATTAGCTGGAAATGTCTGGAAGATATGCAGTGATACAAGAAGTAAAAATACAGAAACAGAAATCATTGTAACAACATAAATCAATGGGACCTTTATAACAAGATCAAAGGATAACAAGAAGAAGAAGAGAGTATGAAGGAATGAAATTATAATGACATGAAGAGACAGACAGAGCTAGCTGATTCAGTTTCCTGAAATAATTACACACAGATGCCACAGATGTTTCCAAAATAATTTTTATTTATGCCAAAAATGACATTCCAATCAACTTGAAACTTTGTGTGAGTCCAGATATTCTTTTATTTTTGTTCATGGAACACTTAGCTTTTATATACCATAAGCTTAGTTGAGTCCATGTCTTATTCATTCCAGGGTAGTGTGTTTCAGCTCACAAACTGTATCAAAAAAGGAAGTATTTAGTTTAGTTTTAAATGATAAACAGTTATAAATATATTGTCCAGTATCAGACATTTTGAATGCTTTATTTAGTGTATGTATTTTTTTTCAATACCCAAGATTCCCAGCAAATAAAATATATTTAAAGTCGAAATTATGTAACACATTTTTCCATGTCACCTAATTGTTTATTTTATGTCATCTATATACAACACTACCTCAATTCAGTGTGCCTGGTAATTTGTAAACCCATTTATAATGCAATGGCTGGTGTGAAAACTTTATAACTACCTGTATGAAATGACAAAATTAAGATTAGAATTGTTAAATGAATTTCTTGAGATATTGTTCATCTTATCACTGAGCACAATGGAATTTTAAATCAGCATCATAATAACTGCAAATTTATTAAAAAAAATTAAGAAAATACTTTAACAAATGTTTTCTCAAAAACTAACATTACCCAGTGAAATTTTTGATCAAATGAAAATGTTGGGAATGTCTACTAATGGCAAGAAATGAATACCAATTAAGTAAGTCTCAGCAAATGAAATTCATGTTTTTTTTATTAATTTAGTTTTAATTTAACCATTATAAATGTGATATGCCCTCTTCTATTCAAATAAGAAAAGAATCAATTGACTGTTACAGCAATTCCCACAAGCACTTAATGGCCATTTGTCATAAAAACACAATGTAATAAACAAATTATGTGTCTGATTACAATGCCTGAAAGTTGTCAACATCATAATAATAACTGTGTGCTGGTTAATCTATGGATTGTGCCTTTCAAATTATAATAAAACACAATTTTGTATCCTTTCTCTTTCTCTTTGGTTCTGAACATAGGTGAGATATTAGTGATTAGTAGAAGTCAGCACCATAGACCATTCGGCCACTAAAACTTGAACTTGACTGAGTGCTGCATATCAACACTGGTTCATATTAAAAATCTCTTGTCAGGTTATTGACCATTATTTGTTCAGATATGATATCAATAATTATTAAAATACATCAAATGAATACTTGTTTTGAAAAATGGAGATTGTACTTCACATGTATCAATGAAAGTTGCTAGAACCTACCCCTCTCTCCAAAACTGTTAACCAAAATTTGAGTGTATGGTTGACTTTTGCTCTCTTCTGATGATGCAATCAGCATTTATGGATTCCATTGCTACAGAGGTTTTAAGGAAGAGGTGAATGATGTACAAGCCTTTAAACATTTTACTTATTGTTAATTGCCCATTATTTGATTTGATACAAAAGATGTAATGAACATCATAATGCAAAATATGTCTACTTTTACTTGATTGTAACAATATAACAAAGGTTCTGCAAATCAGAAATCAAAACAAAATCAGTAATTAGGTTCTCAGAAATTATCACAGAGAAAATTGTGACAATTGATTAAAACTTTTTACCTTTGAAGAGGCATTTAGCACATTTATGATGATTACAGGTTACACTAAAAGCAATTTTAAAGATAGAACTAAAACACAAATTTTACTTAGTTCCATATACTAGTTTTTATTATGATTTTCTTCACATTCAACAAATAGGGGCCGATCCCTTTGGTAATTAGAGAGAAAAATATTGAATTTATTACTGCCCATGTGTTATAAGTAGGTTTCTGAGTTATCTGGGCATGAGTTGTAGAGGAAGAGGTGAATGTGCCTAAAGGTTGTACCGTCTTGTCCGCAGTGAAACTGTCCATGGTGTAAAGGTTATGATTCCATTTAAAGTTTTCAAAAATTATGTAACCTCAAGATCAATTGCTGTATGACTTTGATGTAATATTACTGTATGCTTAAAAGTCATGTACTCTGACATACCAAGCTGTCCTGTCCAGCCTCGTTGAGCATAGTTTTACATAATTATAATGGCATTTACAAGACCATATTGTACAGAACCATCATATATTTGCAAGAGTTATTTATATTAACAAGAAAAAGTCAGTTAAACTAAGTCGAATTAGTGAAAACGGCAATTCAAAATTCACCTTTGCAGTAGAAATGGGGAACCTGTACACTACATGCCGTCTGCAGGACTAATTAATATAGAACTTCATGGAACTAGGTCTATGATTCTCTACAGATAGGCAGACATGTTGTTGATGAGTGAAAATGTTCATTGCATTTTGTGGATAGATTTCATTATGAACTGTGATATTTACATGTAATGAATCCTTTTATTGGGATATTTTGCATTGATTATATTGTAGCATGATGACTTGAAAATCATTCTGTTTGTTTATAAAATAATTACACAGATTTGTTATTTCTGTGGATATGATACATTATTAACCCCACCCACACTGTATGTAATTAAGAGGGATATGGCTGTTGCTTTGTCTGTATGTCTGTCAGTTCATATCTAGAGCACAGCTGTTAATCATTCAAGTTATTTGAAAGAAACTTGATACGTACAGTATATGTCAGGCAATTTGCATGGAGTGTACCTGCAGTACTTTTTAATTTTCTGCATTTTGTGTGCTTGTTACCATGCAAACAGACCATTCTGGTAGCCTAGTGGTTGGAGCATCTGCGTTGGATGCAGGATGTCATGGGTTCGAATCCCTGCTGAGTCATACCAAAGACTTGTTAAAATGGTGTTTACAGTTGTCTTGCTTCGCGCTCAACATTAAAAGGTTAATTTTAGGGCTGGTCAGCCTGGTATCAGGATAATGTGACTGGTTGGGACATAATGCTTCATGTCTGTGGCATGATGCCCCAGTGCTAAATATCACTATAAACTACCACACTGCATACATCATAGCGATATGACTGAAACATTGTCAAAACTATGTTAAAAATCCAAATCACACACACACACATCTTGGAAACAAAGTGTAGCATACATAGTATAAATATTGAGAGTGAAAGAGCATAGAGCACTTGTCTGATATAGTGAATGCTATATATACATACACAAGATTATTGAACATTTATAACAAACAAATATAAAGGGTACTTCCAAGAGGAGTCTTTACATAAGCAGAGGATGTCGGGGTGGGGCCTCACTTCTAGAAAACTCTTTTTTTTTATATAAATTAATTGGAATTAAGTATACCCCAAAATAAAAATTGTATATGATTTTCTCAAGTGAAACTAAGATACAGGTCCATAACTTGAAATTTTGTAGTTTTACGAAACAAAATGTTAGTGTTTAATCAGTGATATCTTTCTTTTCTCAAACTAGCTTTGGCAGAAATTCAACATAACAATCATATTGGTGCCTCTCTGTACAAGCATATATTCATACATCAATCTATGACCTTGGTTAAATGCTGTGCTTTATCAGAGACTTTTTTTTATTGTCGAGTTCTTATGTAGAAGCTTAGTGCAGTGATCACATTGGTGTATATCTATACAAATGGATGTCCATACATCTGTTAATATGTTTATTAGATACTAGACATTGATCACATTGGTGTATGTCTATACAAATGGATGTCCATACATCTTGTAATATGTTTATTAGATACTAGACATTGATCACATTGGTGTCTGTCTACACACATGGATGTCCATACATCTGTTAATATGTTTATTAGATACTAGACATTGATCACATTGGTGTCTGTCTATACAAATGGATGTCCATACAACTGTTAATATGTTTATTAGATACTAGACATTGATCACATTGGTGTTTGTCTATACAAATGGATGTCCATACATCTGTTAATATGTTTATTAGATACTAGACATTGATCACATTGTTGTCTGTCTATACAAATGGATGTCCATACATCTTGTAATATGTTTATTAGATACTAGACATTGATCACATTGGTGTATGTCTATACAAATGGATGTCCATACATCTGTTAATATGTTTATTAGATACTAGAAATTGATCACATTGGTGTCAGTCTATACAAATGGATGTCCATACATCTTGTAATATGTTTATTAGATACTAGACATTGATCACATTGGTGTCTGTCTACACACATGGATGTCCATACATCTGTTAATATGTTTATTAGATACTAGACATTGATCACATTGGTGTCTGTCTATACAAATGGATGTCCATACAACTGTTAATATGTTTATTAGATACTAGACATTGATCACATTGTTGTCTGTCTATACAAATGGATGTCCATACATCTGTTAATATGTTTATTAGATACTAGACATTGATCACATTGTTGTCTGTCTATACAAATGGATGTCCATACACCTGTTAATATGTTGTCGATATACCTGTTAATATGTTTATTAGATACTAGACATTGATCACAATGGTGTCTGTCTACACAAATGGATGTCCATACATCCATTCTGATACTAGACATGTTGACTATATTTTTGTCTGTGTACAAATGGATACCCATAGATCTGTTGATATGTCCATCGGGATACTAGTCATAGTGATCACAGATTTCTTAATACACCACTCCCTCGATAACTCGCAGACAGCGGGGTCCAAAAACATCGACCACGATATAAGCTAGGGCGCGAATTACTGAGGAACCTATAACAACAAAACTAACAAAGGGATCAACGTAGAGGCAAAAAGGGTGGCTTGGCATGTTACAATGTTGAATATTCAATTAATAATCTTGCTAATATTAACCGTGACTAAATATCTCTTCATATTGGTTTACTTTGTTTGGTTTTTTTCTCACAGAGTAACATTAATTTCAGGACAACTTAACAGTATATTGAGGAGATCATCAAGACATTATTCCACATGGTGTCCATTTGTTTAACACATGTACAACTCCACACGTGGTATATTACGTCATTAATTTTTGTTGTAAATGGTATACATTCTAGTTTTATTGTTTGATCCAATATAGATGATCTTTTTTAAAAACAAAAGATCGACACATTTCGAAAAAGCAATGTTGATTGAATGATATGTAGATTTTTATTGTGGTAGAAGTAAAATAGAAGAAAAAGAATAAATTCACAAGGGTTATCCATTACCAATGTGAATTTAATGGGTATAAATATTTAAAATGACATAAATTAGAACACGATAACACTTGTGGTTTGTGACACATTGTACCATGCATGCACTGCACACATGCAGTCTGTGTTCATTTTTGTTCATCCATTCATCTGAATCAACATCATGTTAGTAATTTCAAAGTTTCAGCTCATCCTTAAGCCAACCTCTAAATGTCGACTCAGCAATTTTTAGTTCATTGCAAAATTTTGATCTTGTTTCGTAATTATGAACCCTATCTATGATGCACAGATTTTCAGTCATTGTGTAAGCCTTTCATTTAATTCCTTTGCTCTCCTTGGTCACATTTACAAATGATTAGGATACATTACTGATATTATATACTTTAATGATGTTAATATATGAAAATGTGAAAACATTTTCCATTGGTCAAATAAAATGAAATTTGAGAACTGTAATGAATACAAGAACTTATGCTCCTATTGGCATGCCTTTGAACTTTTTTTTTATTGTACTTGTTTGATTTGATACAAAATACATATTCAAAGTGATAAAACAACAGAAGTCTCTTTTAATTGATTCTTTTATTGCAACAAACACTCTCCAAATTGTTGATCAAAACAAAGTGGGCATGTAATTAGGTTCTCACGGAAGTACTTGCTAGTTTCAATGTGAGAGTCAATTGACTCTTTCCATGTTTTCATAGAAGAAAATATGTATGTTGGGATTATAATGTTGAGGTGAAATTAAAGGATTAGAACCTGAATTTGACCAAGCAAGACATTTAATTGGTGCTTATTTCTTTCTATGTTGCCACCTGTTATCACTTACCAGAATTTTTCATTGATCACTGTTTCACCAGACTGTTTATTTACATTGTATTGACAACTACATGTATTTCTCTATTTAAAAGAAAACCTAACATAATATGTGATATCTTATTAGAACTTAAAAATTTCACAATATGGATTCTATCTTTACAGGCAATAATCACCATTTTCCATGATAAAAATGAGCTATGTGTCAAGGTTCAATTTATCATTTCTTATCACGACTTTTTTCATGTTCAACACATTTTAAAATATATTTTCTTTGGAAAAAGTCAGGAGCCATGCCTGACACCGCATTATAAGCAGGTTTGTGAGTTATCCGGGCACGAGTTATTGAGGGAGTGGTGTACAAATGATGTCCATTCATCTGTACATTCTGATACTAAACATTGATAATGTCTGTCAGTACAAATAAATACCCATACATATATCCATGATGATACTATACATAGGTTTCCCATTGATGTCTCTCTGTACAAATGTATGTCCATGCTGATACTAGACATAGTTTTCCCTTTGATGTATCTCTGTACAAATGTGTCCATACATATGTCAATGCTGATACTAGACATAGTTATCTCATTGATGTCTCTCTGTACAAATGTGTCCATATGTCTATGCTGATACTAGACATAGTTATCTCATTGATGTCTCTGTAAAAATGTGTCCATACATATGTCAATGCTGATACTAGACATAGTTATCTCATTGATGTCTCTGTACAAATATATGTCCATGCAGATACTAGACATGGTGATCTCTTTGTTGTCTGTCAGTATGAATGCATGTCCATACATCTTTCCATTCTGATACTAAACAGTGATCTCATTGTTGTGTGTATACATATGTTTTTAGTTTGTCATTAGTTTTATTGATTGATAAATATTTAGTTTATATTGTCATTTGTCTCTAGAAGTGTTTTGTGTTGTTGCTTTAAAAATATGTTTAATGGTGAGAGTAAAAACTGTATTGACTCAGTGTGTATATATATATATATATATATATATATATATATATATATATATATATATATATATATATATTGTCATTTTATTCTCTAGCTACATATCCAAGGATCACAATGTACATGTATGTATTGGTCTATCGATCACATTGTAAAAGTATGTATTGGTCTATCACTCCATATTTTTTATATTTATTTATTCAGATCTGTACTTATTTGCTTATCAATGTTTACTCCATCTTTAAAATGTTTTGTTTTTCCCACTTTGTTTAGAAGATCTGAATTATAAGGAATAGTTTCATCATCAAGTTTTTTTTATCCTTTAGGCTTGACTTTAAATTCTAAGGAACAGTTTTTGTTAATTTTTTCCAGATTTGTATCCTTGAGGTTTGAATTCTAAGGAAAAGCTATTGTCCATATTCTTCCAGATTTACATCCTTTGGATCTGAATTATAGGGAACATTTTTTGTCCATTTTTCCATCAAATTTGTATCCTTTATGTCCGACTTTTAGATTGACACATAAATTATGCTGGTTTTACATTTGTTAAAAAGATATTTGGTTCAAATTTTGAATATTGTTGACTTGATAAAATTGCTGATAATAATTATAGCTTTTTCTTGCACAATCAATAAGACTCTTTTTGAAGTATATTGCACATTGGCCTCTGATTAATAGATAAGCAGGGTACCAGTCTTAAAGGCAGGGAATATTGGATATCATGCTTGATACTTTAAGATTTGGGCTGCTGACTTTAATACCAGGATGGAAATTTTTCTTTGTGATTTTTCTCAGATTTTCACCAGCAGATTCATCTGTATTAATTGTATTTCTGTATATAGAGGCTATTAATTTGGTTACAGCAGG